AATCTTGGAACTTGAATCAGATTTCTGTGTAATGTTTGCCCCCCATTCTTTCTCTCTCCCCTTCTCCCCCCCTTCCTTATCTCTCTCTCTCTCTCTCTCTCTCTCTCTCTCTCTCTCTCTCTCTCTCTCCTCTCCTCTCCTCCCCCCCTCATTATCCGCGTGGCCAGGGCGTTACTCCGCGCGTCCTGGCACTGTCTGGTGTGCTGCCAGCCCGCCGCGTGCGGGGCAGTGCGGGGCGCCCCCCGCGGGCCCTCTCCCAAACAGCTGCTTCGTCGCGCTGTCTCTCTCGCACTGCTGTGCCTCGCCCCTGGGGGCGCGACAGAGACAGCGCGACGGAGCGGTTTCGCGGAATCAGACCGCTATCATCGTGCGTTTCTGTCTCCTGGCTGTCTCTTTCCTGTTGCCTCTGTCTCCGTCCGCGGCGTGTGGCGGACCCGCACTCCAAGAGTGGTTTTCGTCACTCTGTCTCTCTCGCACCCAAGTAGTTCCGTGTAGGTGCGAGAGAGACAGAGTGCCGTAAACGACTCTCGGTCTGCAGCAGGACAAGTCACGCGTTTTATTGCTCGGTTACAGTGCCGTCACACGGAGGGGGAAGGGGAGGGGGGAGGGCGCAAGGTCGGATGCCTCAGTGTTCGCACTCCTGGCCCATGGGCTGCTGTGTAGATGCGTTTTTGGTCCACAACGTCCGAGAGCTCGTTCCTACTGCCTGTAGTGGAACGAACGAAAGGGTAGTTTGACTCTCTCAGGTCTCTCTCTCTCTCTCTCTCTCTCTCTCTCTCTCTCTCTCTCTCTCTCTCTCTCTCTCTCTCTCTCTCTCTCTCTCTCTCTCTCTCTCTCTCTCTCCCCCCCCGGTATGCCTTGCACCCTGCTGCCATCGTGGGCCGTGGTGTGTGGCTGGCCATAGCCATGCCAAAGCGGAGGACGACCACCGCTGCAGCACACTGATTCCGAGATTCGTTTCCGTCGCTCTGTCTCTCTCGCACTTATAGAAGTTGCCATGAGTGCGAGAGAGACGCGACGAAAACGACTGCAAAACTACAAGCAGCGCTGCGGTGTCGCTGACTCATAAAGCGGCGCATTCTTGCGGCCAGGTCCGCCAGGCCTAAGGCCAGGCCTAAGGCCAGGCCCCGGAGCGCTGCCAAGCCGCGGCCACGCTGAGGGGCAGGGCGCGGGGCGGCGCAGCGGAGAGCAGCAGAGCGAGGCAGACACGGCACCCTGAATTCCATCACTGCAAAGCCGATAGTAAGTTTACTTGCCACAAATTTGGCAAGCCGTTTCAAATGCCAAAAATTGGCAAGCTTGGCCCGGAAGTACTCCCTAGCTTGCCAAAATTTGGCAAGCTTGGCCCGGATAGACTCCTCAGCTTGCCAAAATTTGGCAAGCTCATCTAAGCTTGCCAAATTTTGGCATTCAGAACGGCTTGCCAAATTTGTGGCAAGTAAACTTACCACTGGCTTTGCAGTGATAGGCGGATATGGCAGAGGCTCAGTTTCACAAGAAAGGTACAAACAAACAGACAGACAGACAGACAGACAGACAAAGATACAAAGAAACAAAATGCAAACAAACAAAAATACAAACGAAACAGACAGAAAGGAAGGTAAGAAGGAAGGAACGAACGAACGGACAATGAATGAATGAATGAATGAATGAATGAATGAATGAATGAATGAATGAATGAATGAATGAATGAATGAATGAATGAATGAATGAATGAATGAATAAATGAATGGATAAATGAATGAAACAACTTTTGTAGGATCTTTAACTTTCAGGAAAGAAAGAAAGAAAGAAAGAAAGAAGTAAGAAAGAAAGAAAGAAAGAAAGAAAGAAAGAAAGAAGAAAGAAGAAAGAAAGAAAGAAAGGAAGAAAGAAAGAAAGAAAGAGAGCAGCGTCAACCTGAGCTTAGATGCGTCGAGGATCACGTAGCCGAGGTTTGGACTCGGGACGGTAGTGCCTGCTCGAAATGGCCCCGAATAATGTCCCACCGCGATCATCGTGGTCTTGCCCCCAAGTCAATGTAAGCTCACCCCAACAACCGCACCCTGCCCGGTCGGAGCGCCTGCCGCATAGGCCACATCCCCGCTTCGCGACACGGGTGCGTGGCGGGCTGGCCTGCCTGCCGGCGCTCTTTCTGCCGCCCCGCCCGCCCGTGGTTGGCCCCCGGCAGCTCGGCAGCCCACCGCACTGGGTCGCCTCTCCGCCCGGCAGGCAGGCCACCCAACCGGCACAGGCCCGTCACCGCCCTTCCTTAGGGCCGCGTGCGAAACCGCCACCCCCAGCGCCGTCTGTCTTCGTCGCTCCAGCGCGTCCACTGTGAGAGCGACAGAGACAGGCGATGCTCGGGTGGTTGGCGGTTTCACACGCGCTCCGCCGGACTGATGCCGAGAACCGTTTTCGTCGCTCTGTCTCTCTCGCACCTATACGGGACGCCCCATGAGTGCGAGAGAGACAGAGCGACGAAAACGACTCTCGGAATCAGCCTGCAGGGAGTCTAATACCGGTGCGCTGCCTGGCGATTCAGCAGCGTCTCGTTGCGTCTCTCTCGCACCCGAGCGGGCGCCTGATGAGTGCGACAGAGATGGAGCGATGAGATGTCGCTTCGGATTGAGTCTCCCGGCGGGCGCCGCGTCCACCTCCTGGTGCCCCTGCCGCTGTCCGTCGCGGAAAGCATCCTCAAAATTTCTTTCTGTATTCTTAGCATAGTTGGAGCGCGGCGCTTCCGCGGTGCACCGACAGATGGCGCGACCGGCGGCGCCGAGTCCGCGTGGTCCGCTTCGTCGGCAGGCGCGGCTCGGTCGGCCAGAGGGCCGGCACAGGCGGCCAAAACTCTGGATGCGTTTTGGGCGCAAGAGTCGCTACACAGCCTCGAACTGAACGTGTGACCCCACCAATGGATTCCTCGTTCGAAGAGCAATCCGTTGGTGGGGTCACAAGGCCGGTTCGAGTCCCATTTAGCGACTCTGGCGCTCAAAACGCGTCTAGATTTTTGGCCGCCTCCGCCGGTCTCCTGGCCCACTGTGCGCGGCACCGCACGGTCGCGGGTAGAGAGCCGCGAGTTCAAAAGCGTCTCCCACACCCAGACTCGCCCAGAATCCTCCCTCGGCCCGGCCCGCCCTTCCTAGGGGACCCTCTTGCGAGAGGGTAAACACTGTAAGAAATCGTGTACAGAGTACTCGGTATTACGCTGTATTACGGGGATATTACACGTGTATTACGGCATTAAAATGCCAAAATTTGGCATATTTGGCCCAAAAATGGTATTACGATTACGTGCATTACACGGTTTTTGTGTACAGGGTATTACGCGAGTGTTTACCCCCTCGCCCTCTCGCGCTGAAAAAATTCACAAGTCCGAAAAGGGGAAGACTTTTGAGGCGCCTTGAGGCGACTTTAATTCAAGATTGCCCTTGGATTCCTGTGTGCAAATATTTTTGGAGTTGTTTACCCTCGGTACCCTCCAGGTGGCAGAAACCTGCATGTACACTCTTGGTCTGCTTAACATGCGTACAGGTCGGTCATGCTCCAGGCATGCTTCCACCTGAAGCATACTTTGTACAGTTTTGAGTTCATAGAGTGCCTATGCACGGGCAATCCAACCAAACCGTCATGGGTTTGGCAGTGCCTCTTGAAGACGCTAGAGTTCAAACGAGGGGTCAACCAACCACTACTCAGCTCAGAAGTGTACACAGGATTACTGATTACCAGTGATTACCTACAATAATACTAAATAAACCTATAATTTTGACCAGCAAAGAGCATTTTTGGCCTATTTTCATGAGAAAACCCCCCCAAAATCATATAAAAACAGCGAAAATAGACTGTTTTGAAGTGTGATTATCAATGATTACTGGACGAAGTGTACACACGATTACCTCCTCGAGTTCAAAACGTGTCCAAATCTTTGGCCGACCCAACGGTTCTTTCCGGTCCGTCGCAGTGAAGCGGGTAGCGCTCCACTGACAGACCTCGTCACTCGATTCATCGATCCATCGATCTATCGATCCATCATCGGACGAATAATGAAACCCGTCAGGCGAGCGAAGAGTCCGCGGCACTGTTCCAGGAACCTGACGCCGTCGGGGTTTTGGCGGTCGCGACTCGCGAGGCGGCCGTGCTGTCATCCTCGTTTCGGGAGTTAACCCTGATTTAAGTTTGGGTGGACCGGGTTGGACTGAGAGTATGAGCATCTGATAAAGTACCCTGGTGGACATCATCATCATCGACGCGTCTGAATTTATTGGAGTATGTAATAATTGGCATTACGCTTGGCTTTTCCGGACATTGGCTACAGTGTCCACGGCCAATCCCGTTGAAAACTGCTCGGCCTCTGGATTGTGGTTCTCCTTGAGGGCTCTGACCATTTCGCGGGTACCCGGAGATCGCCCAAAAGGCGTTCAACACGGCCAACTCGAGCGCATCGCCAGGGCGGTCCCCCGAGAAAGCCATGGACCCGGACTACGGCGGGTTCTCGGGTTTACCCAAATATCCGGATGCCCGCGGTCCTGGTTCCTGAGATCCCTACTTCCTTGATGCTTCGAGGGTCTCCCCGCCACCGTGTTGACCCCTCCACTGTCACTGCGTTCCATTCATGGCCTCTGGTCCAGCCTGCCTGCGTGTCCGTGGTGTCCGCGAGGCCGCGGCGGGTCTTTAGGGCACGGGGCCCGCGGGCATGGGGCCTGCAGGGCGGCCAGGGCGGCCCAGACGTCGGGCAGCATGTTTATTTTCAGCCTAACCAACGTGCAGGGCGGCTCGCCTCGGACTCACCGCCTATGTGGGCAGGGCGTGGCGGGGCCTGGCGGGGCGCGGCGGGGCGCGGCGGGGTGCGGCGGGGTGCGGTGCCCGGGGGAGGGGAGGGGGCGTGGGGGCCGCGGGGGTGCGTGGCCTGTCAGGGAGCCGCTGGCTAGGCCGCTCGGCCGCTGGGCCGGTAGGCCTGGTGCTGGCCCCAGTGCGGATCGCCTCTCCGGGCCGCGTGCCGTCGTGACGCTGCCGTGACGCTGCCGTGACGCTGCCGTGACGCTGCCGTGACGCTGCAGCACGTCTCCGCGTGCGTGAGCGTGCCCAGTGCGTCGTGCGCGCGCGAGCGCTCGTCCGGACGCGTGTGTGCGTGTGAGTGGCGGGCCGGCCTCCAGACGCGGCGGCGGGGTCGCCGGGACGTGCCGGGTGGCGGGCTGGCCGCGCTGGCCGGGCTGCACAGTGGGCTGGCGGCGAGGGGGTGAGGGTGGAGCCGCCGATTTCCGATCGGCAGCCGAGCGAGGCGAGCCAGGCGAGCGAAGACACCTGTCAGCCGAAGTGGCGCTCCTTCGCGGCCCTGGGCGGTTCGTCGAGGTTCGTCGCGGTGCTCCGCGGCCCTCCGCCTCCTCGTCGCCGTCCTCGCCGCGGGGTCGGCTGCGGCCGGGCGCACAGGGGGCCAGAATACAGGTGGAGGTGGTCAAAATCCCGGACGGGTTTAGAGCTCCAGAGGACTCTAACAGGACGTGTGACCCTACCGATGTATTGCTTTTCAAACGAGGAATCCATTGCTGTGATCACCCGTTCGGTTCGAGTCCTATTTAGCGGCTCTGGAGCTCAAAAGGCGTCTGGAGTTTTGGCCGCCTCCACCGGCCTTCTGGCCCACTGTGACACAGTGCCTTCGGACATTGCCCCCTCCAGCCGCAAAGCCAAAACAGCAAATCGAGAAATTCTCTCTGAGCTCCGCTCTAACTTCTTTTTAGTTTGAGCCTCGCCGCTCCCTTTCGTCGACTGTAAATCGAGCCTTGCCCGGCCGCCCCGACGACCCGCGCCGTGTCTGGCCCGCGACAGCGTGTGACGTGTCGTGTTCGTGACGTTTCTGTGACACGACTGTGACGTGATGTGACAGGCTGCCGGGCGCCACCATGGAGAGGGTCACAGGGTTGGCGTTTCTGCGCACCTGAGGACCGTGGCTGCGTCGGCCTGCGTTGGCAGCACTGCCCACCCAGAGTGACAGCAGCGCCGCGCCCCGGCCGTCAAGTGAAGTTCAGCCGCCGCCATGGATCTGTCCGGAGATGTCAGTGTCAAGCTTCAACAACAACAACAACAACAACAACACTCTTCCAAGACCATTTACACCACACTAAGCACAGAACAAGATCCCTGCCTCGCCTTCCAAGAACCTTCCTCGCACCCTACCCCCTCCTTTTGTCGCCGATTCTCTTTCCGCGCGTAGCCCATCGGTCTTTGCGTATTTGTCGAACGTCAAACGTAAGCGATTCGATTGGAGTCTGTTTCCATGGGACGGTCATGTCGAGCTATGGGGTTGTCGTTCAAAAGAAAGCATTCTCCTATGGTTCAAAAGCAGTTTTGAAGCGTTCACTGCAACGATTTCTCAGATTTAAACGGGCATTACGCTCTCATACTCATGTTTTGCATTTTTGATCCAGTGGCTTATAAAATAATTTGAGCTGCAAGAGCGTAAAGACTTTGAAACTTTCCTTATCTGTACAGTAAAGCTCGGAGTAAATATTGTACATAAGCTTTTGCCTCTGTTGTCAATTGATATTGTCAATTGATATTGTCAATTGATATTGTCAATTGATATTGTGAATTGATGTTGTCATCGCACAACAATTTAATGTGCAAGCACTGCAAACAGAATTATACTCAGGAACCTCGAAAAGTGTTTATTTTCCTTACAGTGAGACTGTTGTCACTTGTCAATGGCCTTGCGTTTCATTATGGCAATGTAACTGGAACTTATTCTGAATCCGAATGTTTAGGGACAGGGATGTCACTTTCGTGATTAAATAACCGCATGTTTCGTTAAGTACTCGGGCTCAAACTAAAGTCCTTACGGTTATGGAGGTTGTACGTTGCAGGTAGTTTTGTACAAACATAATACGGATGGAATATAGCTTACGATACAGATTGTCCATAGTTCAACGGCATTGGTCGTCAGTTACGTACAAGGAGACTACCTGTAAGTTCACGACACCAAAACATTTATAATACGAAACAGAAACTTTTGTATTACAAATTTAGTTCCATCCGCAAGGCGCACAAAACTAATCGTAACGCGCAAAGCCCGTATGGACTTTATTGTGCTTATGGATTGCTTTCATAAGCACACTCCTTGTAACGAGCAAAGCATGCAAAGTTATTATGAAGTTCAACTCAATGGAGCAAGCATTTATGAGTGTGCACTCGACGAAGGACGCAGTAAAGAGTGTGTACTCAATGAAGCGTGAAACTTCGACTATGTGCTTACTCAAAGAAGCGTGAAGTTTCGAGTGTGGACTTACGCAACGAAGCGTGAGGTTTCGAGTGTGTACTTACTCAACGAAGCGCGAAGTTACGGGTGTGTACAAAACGAATGGCGTAGCTACGAGTACGAGTGTGTCATTGCAAGCATGCGTGCATAGTGCGCCCTGCAATGCATGCGGTAGAGTTGGCAGTGTAGAAGCACAGCGCAAACAATGTCCGCCGCGCAATTGTTATCAGATTAATTCGCCGCTGGCGAGCTGGCCCAGACTCCCAGTCGTTTTCGTTGACGTGTCTCTCTCGCGCCCACACGGCAGGCCCCATGAGTGCGAGAGAGACAGAGCGACGAAAACGACTCTCAGTCTGCTTGCTGCTCGCAGTGCACGCCCAGGCGGCTGTGTAATCACCGCTACTTCGCGGCCAGCGACGTGGATTAGTGAAAAGGGGGCGGGGGTAATCTAGAGTGAGTAGGAAGGGGGAAGGGGGGAGGTCTTGAGAGACATGAGTCGCGGCAGGTTTTTGGGAGCCAAGTAGCAGTGCTTTCATTTTCGCTATGTTGCACCTGCCGGGAGGAAGAGGATGGGGAGAGGGGGACGGCGGTGAAAGGGGGTGAGGCTGCAGAGAGGAAGTGGCGAAGGAACTCGTCGTTGGTCCGTGTCCATCGACAAAGTGGTGGAGGGGGGGAGGGATGTTGCCCACAGCACGGAGGGCCTCAAGATGCTGCTCAGGGGATGGGGATGTGGACGTATGCCGTATGCATCCCTACTCTGCAAAGTCAACAGTGTGCTGAGCACACTCTGTTCAGCGTGTACTCACAAGTACACTCCGACGAGAGTGTACTCAGATGAGTACACTCCAACGAGGGTGTGCTTAGATGAGAGTGATTCCATATCTAGGGAGCACAAGATTTTTTTTGGTGTCACCGATCTGAACCAAAATTTTACCACATGTACCCCTAAGGTAGAGAAAGATGCCCCCAAATTTTGAAGGTCCTAGGTCGACCAAGTCCGGAGCAGTGGGCCTTAGTGTGTTTTGCGACTTTTTTGGTAAAAGTCAACTTTGAAGGTACAAATCGATGGGAAGGGCTTGACCTAGGGACTTGAAAATTTTACCAGGTCTTAGGGGGCATAAGGACAACATTTTAGAATTTTTTCAAGAATTTTGAAAAACTTTTACTTTTTGAAAAAAGTTGAACTTTAATTTTTTTTTCTAGATCTCAAAAACATATTTTTGAAAAAAATTGAAAAAAATTGAGAAAGTGCCTTTCCTTGGTTCTAGTAACTGTACAAAATTTCAGCCTGGGCACAGACTTGGTTTGGGAGCTATGGAAGAAAGCGACAAATTTCACTCCGTAGTCTGAAGGACTTTAGCGGAGAAATGACTTATTTGTAGCCTGGGTATATAAGAATGGGATAAGCTATGATCCCAAGATAGACATAGTGATCTGATGAGTATCTTCTACTTCCTTACTTGTGTTTTGGGTGATTTCAGCCAGTCAGGATTATGTTTCGAAGAGCCAAATCAAGGGCAAATTAGAGACACGGTTTGATTACGATTCCACCTGTGAAATGAACTTGCAATGACTTGGCTCTTCGAAACATAATCCTGACTGGCTGAAATCACTCAAAACACAAGTAAGGAAGTAGAAGATACTCATCAGATCACTATGTCTATCTTGAGATCATAGCTTATCTCATTCTTATATACCCAGGCTACAAATGAGTCATTTCTCCGCTAAAGTCCTTCAGACTACGGAGTGAAATTTGTCGCTTTCTTCCATAGCTCCCAAACCAAGTCTGTGCCCAGGCTGAAATTTTGTACAGTTACTAGAATCAAGGAAAGGCACTTTCTCAAATTTTTTCAATTTTTTTCAAAAATATGTTTTTGAGATCTAGAAAAAAAAAATTAAAGTTCAACTTTTTTCAAAAAGTAAAAGTTTTTCAAAATTCTTGAAAAAATTCTAAAATGTTGTCCTCATGCCCCCTAAGACCTGGTAAAATTTTTAAGTCCCTAGGTCAAGCCCTTCCCATTGATTTGTACCTTCAAAGTTGACTTTTACCAAAAAGTCGCAAAACACACTTAGGCCCACTGCTCCGGACTGGGTCGACCTAGGACCTTCAAAATTTGTGGGCAACTTTCTCTGCCCTAGGGGTACATGTGGTAAAATTTTGGTCCAGATCGGTGACACCAAAAAAAATCTTGTGCTCCCTAGATATGGAATCACTCATGAGTACACTCTGACGAAAGAGTGCTTAGATGAGTACACTCTAACCAGAGTGTGCTTAGATCCTGGAAATATATGCAGTTGAGTACACGCTTGTGGGAGTGTGCTTGTGAGCACACGCTGAAGAAAGTGTACTTGCCAGTACACGCTGAAGAGAGTGTACTCGTGAGTACACGCTGAAGAGAGTGTACTCGCGAGTACACGCTAAAGAGAGTGTACTGAGTACACTGTTGAGTTTGCAGAGTAGGCGAGTGCTAAGCGGGCAGATAGGCGATCGGGCGGACGGACAGACAGACAGGCAGACAGACCGCCGCGGATAGGAGTAGGCGGTCTAATTACCGGCGCGTGCCAACATTTTTGAACGATGTCGTTTGGCGGCGGACGGATGAGCCGATTGCGGTCAACAGCCCCACCGATCAATATGAAGGCTGCACCCCTCTCAAAGTCACTCCGGGCAGTGTAGGTAACAAGGTCATGGCCAGGGTGTCGTCAGATTTGAGGTGACAAGGGATTGAGGGAGCGACCAGGCCACGGCGTCGGGACATCCCTTGCCTTTCCCGCCCCTTCTGGCCACATTGGTGGAGGAATGCCCGGGCAGACTGATTCCGAGAGTCGTTTTCGTCGCCGCCTCTTTCGCACTTTATGGGGCGTCCCGTAGGTGGGGAGAGAGACAGAGCGACGAAAACGACTCTCGGAATCGGTCGGCCGGTAAAGCGGATGTTGCTGGCCGATCAAACGTCAACGTGGGCGGGAGCGCGGTGGCTGCTGACGTCGGCGTCGTCGGCGCGGCCACGCGGTGGGAGCGTCTATAGGTGCCCGATCGCATCTCTTCTCAGATCGGTGTAGGTTTTTTTCGCACTTGATTTTCGGCCGGCAGGGGGTGAGTGCGCCTCGCGGCCGCTCGCGGCGGGGCGGTTCGGCGGGGCGGTTCGGCGAGGAATGCAGACGCGATCGGCAAGGGACGCCGCCAGCTATGACGGCCGAGGGACACGCGTGCCCCTCCCCTCCCCTCCCCGACCGCGGACCGCCCGGCTGGCGAGCTGCTATTCTTATGTCTGAGCGCCACGGCGTGGCGCTGCGTGGCGCCGCGCGGTGGACGGGCTTGTCGCGCTCCGCCCTGGCCGTCGCCCTGCGGTCCACGGCGAAGCCCTTCTCGGCCACCGCCGCCGTGGACGACGACCAAACATCCCGCGCCCTCCCTCCGAACGCACTTCCAACCCCGTCCGGAGCATTGCTCGAAGTCTCACTCCAGACCCTTAAAACCCTTCTATTCTACATTTCCGCCAGACAACCCGCTACACAGACACCCGACCTCCCCCTTCCCCCCGACCCCCCAACGCACCGATGCACGTCTGCCCTTGCTAAACTCTATCCACTCTACCCCTATTCCCAAAACCCCCGTACATTGTATACTGAACCGAATGCATTCGCAAACGCCTGAATCATGGAAAAAATACAGCCCCTGAAAGTGTCATTTTAGTGCGAGCACGGCCGGGACAAACCGACTAAAATTGTTCCACGGATGATTTTACCCTATTTCGATTTGGCATGATTTGTTGGATTTACGGAAGGCTGCATGATGGCTGCTTTGGGGCAGGCTATCTCTTTCCCTATAGATCTGCAAAGGTGACATTCACTCAGTCACTCACTCATTCACTCACTCACTTACTCACTCACTCACTCACTCACTCACTCACTCACTCACTCACTCACTCACTCACTCACTCACTTAGTCACTCACTCACTCAGTCACTCAGTTACTCACTCACTCACACTCAATGAAGTACGAGATGAAGTACACTGGCATCTCCGGACCGGCTGACTGGTGGCCGCTCTCGTTGTGTAGGTGTGGGCCCAAGTGGCCCTGGAGGCGTCCACCGTCTACCTTGTCGATGGTGTTATGCGAAGTCCCTTCGCCAACACGGTGAGTGGTCGTAGAAAGAGGTGGATTGCTTTGAGAAGGCACTTGTTAAATATTTGGTCTAAGTACATCACTGAAAATTTAAGTACACGTAGAGCACTAGAGTAAGTGCTGAGTACACAATTAGAGCACCTAAATTTTCAGTTGCTTCGCAAGTCACGTTATTGCACATACATTTTTGTGAAGTGCACTCCTTTTGAAATCGAATAGTGAATTGTACTGGTTGTAACACTGGAACGAGTTCTTAACCGACGAATTGAGCTACCATGGAATTGGCTTTTGTAGTTTTCCTTAAGCTTTATCAGTCTGTGAGTGTGGATGTCAAAGGACGGGCTTTAAAAAACTGATGTTAAAAAAATCTGTCAAGCTTCATGATTAGAACTACTGTTCTAATTCTTCTCCGACTGAGCCCCCTATGAGCCCCTGTGAGTTATGCAGTCCCGTTAAACACACGAGCATGCGGGACAGCCTACCTCCCAGGCGCCGTGCTGCCCGCCACGGCAGAGGCTGGAGTCCGCTGGAGGCAGAGTGGAGCGACAGAGACTCGAGCAGGCCTGTCGGTGGGGAAACATGTATGCCTGTGTGCACATGTTTTAGTTGGTCCTAGCGTACTGAGTTCACTGTAAAAAATTCCGTACTTTTGTACGGAAATGGTACAGAAAAATATAGTACGGTGGTACGGAAAAAAGGTACGGAACGTTCCGTAGTTGTCAAGTACGGACGGTCCAGGCAAATTATTGACCAGACATGTTCCGTACTTAAGTACGGATATCTATTTTTTCTCTCAGTGTTCAGTTGACAGATTTATGTGCGTAGCGACACGGGAACCATTTTGTAAGTAGAACGAAACACTGAACCCCAGAACGATGCCACTTTGTATCTGTTGATGAAATTCATACCGGCACCACAACGCGAGTATTTAGGTTATTCATAGCTTTATATACGGAGCCCATTTTTGCGGCGAATTGGAGTCAAACTGTGAAGAAAGGAATGTATTTTCCTAAAATCGAAGGCATATTTGAAGAGATTCAATACATTTTCTGTGTTATTTTCTCCACGTGCGTTCAGGTTTCTTCGGGACAATTTGTGCGCAAGTTTTTACTCGGAGAAATGAATTGTCAAATATCTTGACACGTGTTTCGTTTTGACCATGTTGCATGAAATTCGTCTAGTGACGTATTCAACCGGCTTCCCCTGACGCCTTGCCGCGAGCCCTGTCAGTGCCAAGACGTCCACGAAGGTCTTTAGGGTTACATTTCCCCCTTCTCGCACTGTCAACAAGTCGAGTCACAGCGCATTGGGTTTTCTCTACTCTCCGCTCCGTATGGCTTTAAAATTTTTGAGGAGCGCGGAGATCGCTACAGTGCCTTTGCTTCTTTTGTGTGTCTTCCTTACGAAGAAATAGTACTTGAATCTAACTGCGAAAATTTTGAGAAAATATTCGTATGAAGGAGTACATATTCTGCTTCGTGTTGAGTTTGTCCCGAATTGGCTGTATTGCAACGTTGTAATTTTTTATCATTTGTCCAAACTCCAAAAAAAGTATTGAGTCAAATAATTAATTATGATTTCGATTTATGCTGAGTTATATCCTGGGCAACACTCGTTTTCTGGTAGTCACATCGTGACGCTTCTCAGCTGTTTTCAGTCAAAACAATGCTCGTTCAAGCCAATTTAAGTTTTTCTGAGAGTCGTGCTCCAGTAAAGGCGAATCCAGAGCCGGCCTCAAAAGGGGGAGGGGAGGACAAAGCAGCACGTTCTGCCTTCAACGTGTTGCTTTTTCCCTCCCTACTTGTCGCTATCTAGTGGTCGGTACGCATTTTTCTCTCCTCGCCCCTTCAGTGGATCCGTGCTTTGTACCAGAGCAGCAACACTGCAAAGCTGGTGGTAAGTTTGCTTGCCACAAATTTGGCAAGCCGTTTTGAATGCCAAAAAATGGCAAGCTTGGCCCGGAAATAACACCCAGCTTGCCAAAATTTTGCAAGCTTATGAGGATTTCCGACCAAAGCTTGCCAAATTTTGGCATTTTAAACGGCTTGCCAAATTTGTGGCAAGCAAACTTACCACTGGCTTTGCAGTGAAGAGCAGCTCTTGGGAAGCCACGTGGCCCGAGGGGGTAACCACTCGCGTAATACCCTGTACACCAAAAAACGTGTATTACGCGTAATACACGTGATTGTAATACCATTTTTTGGTCCAATGTGCCAAATTTTGGCATTTTAAGGCCGTAATACACGTGTAATACCCCCGTGATACAGTCTAATACCGAGTAGTCTGTTCACGATTTCTTGAAGTGGTTACCCCCTTGACGTGGCCCTAGCTCCACGTTTGTGTCCACCCCTGTAGAAACGCCAACCGTTCCTCACATTGCCCCTCTCCGTCCTGTTGCAGACCATCGAGAAGCTGCCGGACAAGGTGCTGCTCAACATCTTCTCGTACCTGACGCACCGCGAGATCTGCCGCATGGCGCGCGTGTGCCGCAAGTGGCGCCTCATCGCGTACGACACGCGGCTGTGGAAGAGCGTGTCGCTGCGGCCGGAGATCTCCGGGCTGCACGTCGGCTCGCTGGAGGCCCTGCTCGCCCTCATCAGGTCAGGCACCGCGTCAGGCACCGCGTCAGGCACCGCGTCCAGCCACCGCGTCAGCCACCGCGTCCAGCCACCGCGTCAGCCACCGCGTCAGCCACCGCGTCAGCCACCGCGTCAGCCACCGCGTCAGCCACCGCGTCAGCCACCGCGTCAGCCACCGCGTCAGCCACCGCGTCAGCCGCACTCGGGACTCCGAAATGGACGCGCGAAAAGAGCGTCACTCGATTTGGGTTTCAAATAACACGTGACGTCACCTTCCTCCCAGCAGTGTCCTTGTTTCTTGAATCGTGGAAAACGCGCCGTAATGTCTTGTACACAGTAGGAGAGGTGGCTAATATTAACGGGAAAAACGATACGCCTTACCGGCACGGACGGATGCACGTCCCGCTGCATATTCCCTGAGTGATTTGCAAAACAAACATCGGTGCCGGCAGCTTTTTCTCACAAGGGCCACAGCCGACGCGCGCCTAGTCCGTGCGCGTGCGTGATCCGTACGAATCGCAACGGAAATGTTGGCAGTGCACCCGACACGCATGTGTGGTAGCCAGGCAACGGGTTCATGGACCCCGACGAGAAATAATTGATGGCGGTTGCGGTGAGAGGAGACACCCTCGCCACCGACTGCCCTCCGCCATCTCCGTCGCCTGGCAATTCTGACTGTTCTTTGTCCGTCCGTTCTACGGGTCACATTTTAAAAACTTAGTCAGGATGAGATGAGATGTGATATAGCTTTTATTCAAATCATAACGGAAACTCGTCGATCAAATCAAGTCGCCTTGACTAATTATCTGCGACTTTGCGTCTTGCGTTTCCTTTCCTTTTTAGTGGATGGTACCTTTACTTTGAAACATACTTTAAAAAAATACTAGGCTCTGGTGCACATGTTTACTAGCGTTTACTACCTTTTATTCTCGGGAAACCAGTGGGCTCAGATAAAAGTCTACGAAGCATCGCTTCGTCATGCGAAGAAAACGAAGGCTTTCGTAATACGAAGCAAAATCCTTCGCAATATGAAGTATTTCTTCATAATACCAAGCAATTGTGCAATGCCTTCATTTTCTTCGTAGTTGCACAGCAAAAGCTTCGCAGACTTTTCTGAGTGCATATCCTGACAATACTTTTAAAATTATGATGAATTTATCTCCAGCATCCGGTTTGGCCCCTCACTGCGGTACATCGAGCTCCCCATCGAGCTCATCACCCACACCGTTCTGCACGAGCTGAGCAACAAGTGCCCCAACCTCACGCACATGCTGCTCGACTTCTCAACCGCCATGCAGCTGCACGATTTCAGCGAGATGCAGGTTCGATCCACTCCGGCGCTGTTTTACTTTATTTCATTTTTAACGTTTTTCATGTTTTGACGAGTCTCATTTTTTTCAGGCTTTCCCTACCAAGCTTAAATATATGGTCATATGTCTATCAGAGGTCATCTTTATGGAAGGTTTCATGAGAAAAATTTATAATTTCATTAATGGTTTAGAAATTTTGCATTTAATAGGTAAAGTGCTTTGCCTCAGTGGGTCCTTTTCTTCAACCAATAATTTGCAACCAATAATGAACTTGTTCTTGCTCTTCGGCTGCTCCCATAGGAACTTACGAAAAAGTGGAAGAGGAGGAGGAGGAAATTTATGAGGTCATCAACGTCCACAAATTAAAGGGTGCAACTCCAAATCTAAGAGTCATTAACCTGTATGGAATTAACTTTATAGACGACAGTCACATAGACGCCTTCAGTTCAAATTGTATTCAGGTATCCCAGTGACGTTAGCTCTGCTTCAATATCTCCGTAAAAGCAAAGAGCAGGATTTTGAAATAGTTGTTTTTGCTCTGTCCCAGCTGGAGTGCCTCGCCGTGAATTTCTGCAACAAAGTCACCGGTTCAACTTTAAAAACATTATTCCAGAGAAGTCGGAGGTTAAAATGTTTACTCATGAACCAGACAAGTAAGAATACCTACACGGTACTTAAGATAATGTTCTGTAATTGTTTTCTTTTTACTGAGACGTACGGCTACTCTTTTCAAGAGTATAATGTACTCAGCAAAATTATCAACAGACAACAATGTACAAAGTGCACTCTCGGTACACTCTCATTTCAGTACACTCCTGTCAGCGCGTAATCATTTGAGTATACTCCAGTAGGGGGGCGTGTACTCATCACAGTAAGCTCTCCTGGCAGTTTACGCAAATGAGTGCACATTGATGGGAGTTTACTCAAAACACTACAAACCTGTCTACTAAGTACACACTTGGAAATGCATGCTTGCAAGTACACACTTACAAACGCATGCTTGGCCAAGTACACACGTACAAATGCATGCTTGCAAGTACACACTTACAAACGCTTGCTTGACGCATGGAGTTACGGCGTCAAGCATGCGTTTGTTAGTGTGTACTTGCAAGCATGCATTTGTAAGTGTGTACTAGGCCGAGCATGCGTTTGTAAGTGTGTACTTGCAAGCATGCATTTGTAAGTGAGTACTAAGTAGACAGTTAGGTTTGCAGTGAAGTTTACTGCCGCAAGCGTTTTGGCCTCGTCAACAACGTGCCATGGTTTTCGTTCTAGGCCTCATATCGGAGCACGTGATGGCGGTGGAGTGGGAGAAGGTGAGCCTGCAGGAGCTGGACATCAGCGCCACGGACCTGTCCACTGAGTGCCTCGTCGACATGCTCACCAGGATCCCCAACCTGCGCTTCCTCAGCGCGGGCCAGCTCAACGGCTTCAATGACACGGTCAGTCAGTTCTCGCACCGCCTGAGCCCAGAAATGGGCTCCAAATCTCGACTTTGTCCTTGGTAGACTGTCAAAGCACTTCTCACACCCAGAAAAATGGTTTCTCGATTTTTAATTTTCTTGGTTATGATAAGAAAAATGTCTTTACACAAGAATTTTTTTCTGAAAACACGAAAACAAGCTTGGAGAAAGAAAAATTTTCTTTAAAAAGGAACAGAAAACTTATTTTTTTAAGTCATTTATTTTTGTCCACCGCCGTTCTTTGTGAGTCGCCACAAAAGTCACGGTTTGGATCTCCACGCGCTATCCTGGGTTTATAGGTGGGGCACTGTAATGAAAATCCTTTGTTTGTCTTTTCAAAAAATTTTGAGCGCACGAAAGCCTTTTTAGAACTTCGTGTTAATATTGCGAAGTACCCAACTGCGCTTAACAACCACTGTGTCCGTTAAGTCTGCAAGGCAAAAACAGCTCCCGGTTTTTCCCAGGGACTATCCCTAGAAATCGCAAATGCCTGATCTATAGGCTACACCTGGGAAAACTAGGAACGTGTTTCCGCCCTGTGCTCGAATAAATGTTCGGTAACTTTTTCTCGGGGTGTTAACTCTCCTTCTCGACCCACAGGTGCTCAAGTCGTGGATGGAGATGGGCAACCCCCGGAACCTGATCGCGCTCGACCTGGAGGCGTCGGACAACCTCTCGGACGACGCGCTCTACAAGTTCCTCTCGCGCCACGGCCAGCAGCTGTCCGGCCTGGTGCTGTCCGGCATGCCGCACATCACGGACCAGCTCTGGATGTCCGTCATGCCCATCCTCAACAACGCCAGGTTGGGCCCGTAGGGCTAGGCGGGGCGGCACCGACACACTAAATCTTTACGTTCTTTTGTTGTCCATAAATTGCCATATTTGTGCCTCTGTAAGGTATCTACAATTTAAAATATAATTTAGGGACAGCATGTCCATATTGTGCTTGAGTATAAAATTGCACACATTTTCTATAGAAATTTGTTTATAAGTTACACTTGCACAAATATGGCAGTAGTTATGGACGAAACGCTCACCGTGACATTCTTGGATGTCATTAGGACTGTTTTTAGTCAAAATTTCGACCGAAAAAAGTCATTTTGATGGTCACATTGACTTCATATTTTGACTTCTTTTACTTCTTGAACGTTTCATGCTCATCGGGCCTACGGACATCCAATGACCACTTGAAATAGTGTAATTTTGTCCCGAGAAATGCTATTGCCGCGATCCAAAGCATTCCGTTCTCAGATGGAAAATGTTCAAGAGCATTGAAAAGCGCCGCTGCAAGGACAAGAACGCACTTTTCTGGGTGCTGTTATAAGAGTCTCTACAACGGCATTTCGCGGTAGGATCTGCAGTCGTCAATGACCACTGAGAAACGCGAGGGGGCAACCACTTCAAGAAATCGTGCACGGACTACTCGGTATTACGCTGTATTACGGGGGTGTTACACGTGCATTACGGCCTTGAAATACCAAAATTTGGCACATTTGACCCAAAAATGGTATTAAGGTGGCCCCACAATGGCCGCGGAACACGGGCTTCAGGCCTCAGGCTTCAGGCGTCATCCGTCGGATCAGGGCTCTGTAACGTCTGGCTTAGCCCCATCCCATAAATTCGCTACAAATTCACCATGTTGTCACAATTTTCGTCGAAATAAATACATTCTCCGAAAGAGAAGTGCCCCCCTGAAGCCCTGAAGCCGGGTCCGCCCACGGCCATTGTGGGGCCACCTTTACGATCACGTGTATTACGCGTAATACGGTTTTTGTGCAGGGTATTACGCGAGTGGTTACCCCCTCGGAGAAACGTGACGTCATAGAAGACGCGCACTTGCAATCAATGACAAAGTTACTTTTCCGTCCTCACTCAGTGCGGCAACGGACTTGACACCGCGTCACTGCTCCCCGAATAGCGATAGAGCCTCGTGCGTTGAAGCCTCCACGGAAAAACTCGTCGCGTGGAATCATTACTTCTTTAGCCACTGTGAGAAGTCAACGACAGTTCGATGCGTCCGAAATGTTGTTTTCTGCCACTGCAACTGCAGCCTGCCTTTCTCTCTGCTTAGGCATTACGCTACGCGCAAAGATAGGGTCATGTTTCGGACGCGACCCAAGTCCAAAGACCCTCCCGTCGCCGCGAGCCATCCGACTGATGGTACACTAGTCGCTGCACGGCATTCGTTCCCCTGCTAATTGAAACCTTGCGACAGGATCCTGGTGATGGGGACGCCGGAGCGGCTGGGCGTCAACATCCACGTGGACCAGCTCATGGACGGCATCGCCAACAACCTGCCGCGCCTGGAGCGCCTGGAGCTGCGCTGGGACCCGCAGAACTTGCGCTTCTCCGACAAGAGCCAGAAGGCCATCGACATCCTGCGCGTCAAGTGCCTTAAGCTGCGCTGCCTCGTCCTAAAGTGAGTCGTCTGATTGGTTCGCCTCATAGACACATGAGCATGGACAAATGAGCATGGGACACACAAACATGAATATGGACTCACAAACATGAACATGGACACAGAAACTAAAACATTGATACATGCGGGGGTGCGTATGCACTTGCGTAATAGTCAGGTCACTCTGTTCTTGCGTAAGAACGCTAAAAAGTAGTGCTTTACTCAAAACTCCCAGAATTCTAACCATTTTAGAGTTGTTTTGGATTGTATTTAGCGCGTTTCTTTGTTAATTGTCGCTAATTTCCTGGCGTAATGAAGCGTAAAAGACGTACTACTCAGGCCACATTGAGAGTGCACTCACGCCCCGTCAAAAATGAACGTCACTGGCTACACCTCTGCAAAATTTCCTCGATTCATCGCACCCCAAGGTGCCACTTGGATGACAGTGATTTGTCCGGTTGCGTCGCTTTCCTTCAAATTGTTTTCGTTGTGTGTTGCAGCGACGGCCGCTACTACGAGATCGTCAAGGCCAACTTCGAGCGCGCGGACCGAAACACAGTGGTGCGGACGTCCACGAGCAGCCGCGTGTCCAACTACTACCTGCTGGGCAACTACAAGGACCTCGTGTTCAACTGAGTGTTAACGCGACAGCCGCCCGGCCCGAGAGACGCTCTGACCCGGAGACCTCTCCAAGGACCTCTACAAAGGACTTCCCAAGGACCTCTACAAAGGACTTCCCAGGGAACTCTCTAAGGACATCCTGGAGGACCTCTCTGAGGACCTACCCAAGGGCGTCTCCAAGAGCCTCTCCATGGACCTCTCTAGCCCGCGGACCTCTGCGAGGACCTCTCTAGCTTGAGGACGCCTCCAGCCTGCGGAACTCTCTAACCGCAGGCCCTTCCAAGTGCCTCTTTTGCCTGGAGACTTCTCCAACTGGGCGACCTCTCTAGCCGGAGGGCCTCTCTAACCTGCGAGGCCGCGCGCGAAGACAGGCGAAGGGCCACAGGACGCCTCGAGCCTTGGGGGCCGCTTCGCCGCGTGGACCATCACCAACTTTGTCCACCGATGGTGACCCAAAGCTGTTTCAAGTCAACTAGCGGGTGGCGAGCGGCCCCGCACCGGACGGTGTGAATGTGTGCAGTGCAGTGTGTGTGTGCGAAGTGTGGAGCCAGGCCGTTCGGCCAATCATGGACGCCCCCCAGTGGCATGAGTGAGTTTACGTGCGGTCCCCGAAGCGGGCCGCAAGTGCCGAACGAACCCCGCGAGCTCTGGAGCGTTGGCCAGAGTTTTGCGGAGGTGCATTGTGTACCTGGACGACGACTGCGATGTGAAAGGAAGCGTTTGGCGTGGGCTGCGCTCTGGCCTTCAGGGCTTCAGGGTTGACCTCACTATGGGCCTTTTCGTGCGCGCTTCATGTTGTCGAAGGAAAAGCTGAGCAACCCTACAGCCCGCGGAGGGTAGTACGCGTCAGAGAAGGGAAAAAAGTTTGTAATGCCAACTTTGGGAGTGGAACGAGACAGGATTCTGGAAATTGGTGTAAATAAAGTGAAGATGATGAGGGTGTTTTGTGTCTTTGTTAACCTCTTTTCTTTCCCTGGTCAGAAGCTGAAGAATTAGGAAATATGCAGGTGGCAACTGGAAGCGTCCACAAAACCCTTAACCAAGGAAGAACTTTTTTGATACGAACATTCTTTGGTGTCTTAAATTAAGTTTCTGGCCTAGTTTTTGGCCATGTCCGAAATAGCGGAACATTCATTGCAAAGATAAGGACACAAGAGTTCAAAATAGTCCAAACCCTCAAACTTTGTAAGAGTTTTCGACAGGCTACAAGGTCATTCAAAAAAACGAAGCTACCGAGAATTCACAACGCCGCTTCGGAACGCAATTTCCCGGATTTTCCTTTGTTTCTAACAATGAGTATCGTAGCAAGTCGTTGCCTGCACTTTATTAAAGGAGCAGACTGTTCGGGGGAAAGCCCGCCTCACCTGCAGAGCGTGTGACGTCATGCATGCTTTTTCATGTGCTTTGTTCAGTGCGGCACCTTTGGTCCGCGCGGCCAAGCCCTTCCTTCTCGTCTCAGTCGACAATTTTAAAGCTTCTGCTCCTCTGTCAACCGTTCCTTTTCCCGCTTGCGAGTATACTGACACGGTTTCCCGCACAATACGCCTCCCCGACGGGCCGACGGCGCTGGCAGCGCGCCACAGCCACGGTGCTTTGCGGGGCTCGATGGTAAACCGGTCCCGCTCGGCGGAACCCAAAATATTCCATTTAAAAACCACGCAAACTGTTGTTGCGCGCCAGGGACATCTTCCGCGGCCGCACAGTCGGTGGGGAAAAGAGCTCACTCTCAGTTGTTGCGTCCCGACAAGAGGAACGTATGGGTGTCCTTCGGGACCGAGGGCTCGGGCCCACGCGCATTAGCGGGCACTCGCGTGGTGCGTGTGAATTTTGATGAGTTGGTGTACGGCTGGAGCGAGGCTGCAGCCCGGGCCTGGAGGCAAGCTGGAGAACGTTCCCATTGTCGGGTCTACTCGGCAGGAAAAGGAATGAAATAAAATGAAACAAACGAAACGTTTAGCAAGAAAGCGATCCGAGCTCAGAGCATACGTTTAGTTTTAGCCGTAGTTAACAGAGTTTACATAGCTTCCTAAAGATGTCAACGTGCTGGAAAAAAATTAGTCACGACCCAACGATTGAAATTTTGTAAATAAAACGACAAGCTACTTTGGAAAGCACCCAGCTACTAGTTTTTCTGAGCAGCGAACAACCAAAATTGTTCAATTGTCAGTGAGCAACAAAGGCAGCTCATGGGACCTCTCCGTAATTTTTCAAAAATGGAGTTTAGACAAATTTCATTTTCGTTTCTGTCAAATTTTGTAAAATACGAAGGAAATGGCTCAAGCATAATACGAACGCAGTTTTTCTTCGTATTACGAAGGTTTCCCTCTGCATCACATTATGGGGAAATTGAGCTTCGTCATATGCTTTTGCCGAATTCACTGTAAGAGCTCATTTCATTAATTAAGAGGGAGAAGGTTCATACCACTCAACGACCGCGCCTCGGCCACCAGTCCTGCCGCCTTGCGGCGCACTAAGGGGAGGGGGCCCGGAACTCCAGGTGCGACCAGAGTACCCGGTGGTCGCGCCTCGCCGCCTTCCCGCCAGTCGTCAGCAAGTCCTCGCCGGAGGAGTTGCGAAGCCGAGCGCCCGAGTCGAGTGCGTGTGTTGTTTGTAGCGACCAGGTGAGTCGTCGGATCGGAGCGTCATTGGCCCTTTGTGTCCGTTCTGTTCCGGAGCGTCTTTGATTGGTCCGCATGCTTGGCATCCGTGAATTCGTTACCATATGAGGGGGAAGTGGTCTGCGTAACGCTTCGGTTCATAGGAGGATACGAGCGTAACGTTACACCAAGCAGTGTGCGAGCTCATTTCAAAAGGATAAGGGAGAAATGACGTTTCCGATAAGAAATTTCGCGCGTTGCTAGGGGTTGAGGGCTTCTGGCGCCGCGTTACGCAGGGGTGTTCAAGTGTTCAAAACTATCAATCGACGCCCGAAAACTCCTCTCAAAATTAAGACAAGTCAAATGTGGAGAGTGGTTTAAGTGCGGTTTGTTTTGCATTGAACCTTATGAGTGCATCGGAATGCAAACCACTTGTCGTGGTCAGCGTTCGTTCCTCAGGAGCAAAAAGGCACCAGAGACCGATTAATTTTCGTTTGAACGTGCAGAAATTTTCCTTCTGTCTATTACGTCGCTTGACTGCCTCCGGTGTGATGTGAGCGAGGATGTGAGGCACTGATTGCGTGCCTCCATCAGCGCCAAATGATTACACATGTGTTTCACGGTCTATTCATACCCACAGCCATCCATCATTGGTATGCACAACTTTGTGCGCAGAGATAACCACCACAAATTTCTGCAGAGCGAGAAGGACACTAGGGCATTCACAAGTTAAGATCGGTTGATATCAGAGCTCGACAAAAGTTTTGCACGGAAGAAATCTCTTAAGTTGGTATTCAGGATGATAGCCCTGGTACCTGGTCACTTGATAAGTGAAAAGTAAAGCAGAAACCTAATAGGCAATATAACCAGCCTATAAAATGCATATTGTTGATTTGCATAGACAGTATGCACCTTTTGAATTTCTTGTGCTGTTTGAGCAGGTCAAGTCAATTTCAGATCAACTTTTGTCAGTGTAACGGTCTAGCCGACTCACGGCTGCCCCCGGATCGTGGCCCCTGCCCTTCCGGATCCACTTGTTGATCGACGACTGCCGCGGCGGAGATTGGCGATGGAATAAAAACAAAGCCGTCAACAGACTGATTCCGAGAGCCGTTTTCGTCGCTCTGTCTCCGTCGCACTCGTGGGACGTCCCGTCTAGGCGTGAAGGAGAAAGAGCGACGAAAACGATTATCCGCATCAGTCTGCAGGACATTGAGTCCGTCATTAATTGATGAGAGATGGCGTGGCGTAGTGTGGCTGGTGTGGGGAGGGGGGGGGGGGGAGAAGGAGATAGGGGAACTGACTGTGGCGTGCGAGGGATACATAGCGACACAGGTAAACTCTCGGAATGAAATTCAGCCGGGGTTCTACCGCCGTTCTTGGCGCCGGCCGTTTGCCGTTTGCGATGCGTCACGCGCACGCCTGGAGACACGCACGCAGTGGCGCGCACGGGGTTCAGAGCAAAAAGGAAAGAAAGAGAATACTAGTTTAAAGATTCTCGTCGTGTATTATCGTCATTCAGCTCCGCACGACTCACCAGCATGTCTGCTGGTGACTGATTCCCCGCCCCGCAGTCGTTGGCCTGCCTCTCGCGCTTTAAAACCTTACCAAATATGAAGCAGGTTTAAGGTACGCACGATTTAGTTTGTTAAGAAGAAATATTGCCTAAATTACGAAGTATTTTCTTTGAAAGCTCATGTATACTCGAAATACTTCGTCACAATCTCATTTTCTTTGAAAGGCTGAAAATACTTTGTTGAGGTGCTCGCACTGACCCGTCGGGCGCACTGCGAGAGAGACAAAGCACTGAAGAGACGCATTGCGGAATCGGTGTGCTGGTGACGTCCTCCAGAGGCTCGTCTAGACCTGGGTGTGAAACTTCTGCAGGCAGACGAACCTGGGTTGGAACGATAAACGTTCGTGGCACTCACTGAGTCACTGCCGTGAGCTGGCGGCGCGTCGACCGCCCAACGGAACCGGTCCCTACGGTGTGTCGTACGGCAACCGTTTTCAGACGACACGCGCCACGATTGGCCGCGTGATCGGAAAACTCCTCGCTGTCCACGTCTTCCCCAGAAGCGAAATCATCAATCTACTCTTAGAGCAGCCAAAAGCAGCGTATTTTTCTACTAAGAATATGAAAAAGTGACACTCTACAAATCGAAAAGCGTACATTGTACGCCTGCAAGCACGCTCTGGCTATATCCCATTAGCACTAGATGAACGCTTCGGTTGTCATGTTTATAGTTTGTACTGTACACTAGTTGATGCGTGCATGGCAGGAATGCGCGCTAGCTAGAGAGCGTGCTTACAGGCATGCTTTAGCTAGTGCAACAATGTACGCTTTTCGATGTAAGAGGTATCATTGTGTTCGAGGAGGGCTTCATTGCCTAATTTTTGTTAAGAGAGACTCTTGCCCGATGTTGAGACTTGATAGCTTTTCTTGTCCTAATCTGGGTGATAGTGGTGTTTGTTTTCTAGGCAATAGAACACAACGTTCGTCGCCTAAATTCGGACCATGAAACCCTTTTTGTCTAGTTTAAGGACTCTACATGTGTGTCGGTTGTCTTACGTTGCTTGGCCTAGCTCAGCATCTCTCGCTGAACCTATGAAGCTTAGCCTTGTGTATAGTCGTCGTGTATTTCGAACATTCAAAATCTCCAAAAGAGAGTTTATTTCGCTCAGCAATTAAAATTAATGCTACGAATGCGAGGGTGCAAACCTTTCGGTAGTTTCTACCACAAAGCGACCACATCCACGGATCTTCTTCGACGCTGTATTCATGTAATGCATCACTCCGTCTAAGCGGAATCGGCCGTAGGGCATTACGGGGAAGAGCGCCGGTCCGTCGTATCGCAAAGAAACGTTGTTTACCCGGTACGTCCCCTGTGCCACGCAATGCCACGCAATGCCACGCAATGCCACGCATCGCACAGCCATAACGAAAACAGACGATAAGTACCATTTTTGCACGCGGTCTCACAGAATTTTGTACATGCGTCCTTTTTGTACACACTGAGAAATCCTTACCAACTATTTGACTATTACAAAGCAAAGCAGTTCGTTAGAACAAAGTATTTGGAGTATACATAAGCTTACAAAGAAAATACTTAGTAATTTACGAACTATTTCTTCGGATAACAAAGTAAATTAGTTTGTACGTATGTATGCTCAAAATGCTTCGTAAGGTTTTAAGGGTGCAATTGTTGACGAAATTGTGCAGGAATAGGTGGGATTTTGAGTACAAGTATAGTTTTCGAGCCAGCCATGGTTCGGGCCAGCGATTTCCAGCCTTACCCTTTGATTTAACGGTCGGCGGAACAACCAAGGCTGGACAAATTATTTTGAACCTAACTATCCTAGAAGCATAGCAAAGCTTCAGCCTGATTGGAGGCCGACAAGTAAAGTGCAGGTTGACTTGGAAATATTCATCCCTCTGGAAGATGGAAATTTTGACCGTAAACCTTGGGAGATTTTTCTGAAACTATTACACACTAATAACACTCAAAAATGCTTGCAATGAAATTTGAGCTTCAGTGAATTCGGCGCAAGCATAATACGAAGCAATATTCTGCCTTCATGCGAATATTTTTAGTATTTTCGTATTGTGCTTGCGCTATTTCCTTCCTATGGGAAATTTCTTCGGAAGACAGAGTGAACAGGTTGGCATTTCTAACGAGGTTTTTAACTGTTTACCTGTAGCTGCCTACACTCTTTGGTAACCATGCTTCTACCTCTTTAATGGGGCACTCCAACGGGAAGCCAGGAGCGTGTGACTCGATGAACTCCTTGTAGTAAGTCTTCAAATATGTCTTCAACCCTTGGCACGCTTCTCCAAACCTGAGGATTGCGAAATTCTTCCTCCACCCGGAAACAGTGTCCCATTTTGCTACGTAGGTCGTTATCTGTTCGAACAGAGTGTAAGTTAAGCAGTATTTTTCATGAGTGCCTGAGCACAAACGAAGAGAACGAGAGGTATTTTTGGTGTGATACCTTCACCCACACGAGTCCGACTCTTTGGGTTAGTCCCGTTAAAACATTCTTTTTGTAACAAATTTGTAACTTTTATTTCGTCCTTTGTGCGTACCATACTGTTGCCCACCGTAACGGGGTTATTAAGTAATGTTGCGTTTCCTGAAAAGGCTGGACTTTTTGCACCCCGCTGGTGGTGAATCCTGCCATCGAGTTGGAGGTCGTCACCTGTTTCACCTATTTCCTCTCTTGGGCAAAGGCCTATTTCATGGATAGTGAGGACGTAAGGGCCCTGCTTAAAAAGAGAGTTTTGGTCAGTCGGTGCGATACAGAAACACAAGCAGAACCTACCAGTGTAAGTTGGGACAACCTGTGTGCACACTAAATTCCCTGGTACAATTTTTGAACGTGGCATCACAACATTTTACGCATGCGTGCTTATGTCTTCCAATAATTTCGTACTCATTTTCGAATGAATTCGTTCGATAATGCGTACAAAGTTGCTTGAAAAATATCGCATGCAGAAAATTGAGGAAGAGCCATAAAGTGCACAAATACATATTCACTGTGTGCAATAATGCAAACCATACCGCGTATTTACTGGAAACCAAGACGAGTGAGACGAGAACAAGGCCGATGCTCTTGGTGAGCGTTGCCATGGCGTTCCAGAGACGCCGAGTCGAATGGTGACGCGAAGCCCTGGTACAATGGTACAAACCATATGAACCACGTTCGAACGAAATGTGAGATCATTCCGTGTAATTTTCAATCGAATGTGACATCGCATTCAAACGGAAGTGACAAAAGTCACTTTGTAACGAGTATGACGTCACATTCCTTCAATCACAGTGTAGTGCTTACCCAGAGCCCTGGCTTAATTCAAGTAGATTCAGCCCAAAAAGTGTTTGGCGCGGTAGTTTGAAAGGTCAGAAAATCGCGAAACGGCATCCAGCGGCCATTTGTGAACCGCGCCGGCATTCGACTGCCAACCTGTGGAGCGTGTCAGCCTAGACTGAGTCCCAGAGTAAAATTGAAAAAAAGAGAGGGAAATATGGAAAGAATGAGTTCATTGTTGTAAGCGATAAAACTAGACATGACAAGTGTTGGCGTGAGGGAGCGTTGCGTGCAGCTTCAGGGCAGGCAATTGTGCAGGCTGGCAAAATTACTGCATCGACAGAAAAAGTCTAGACACTGACGTCACTGGAAATGTGTCGGCGTCACTTCTTCGTGCGGTATCAGTGGCGTGATTAAACTGACACGCCGAAAAACACGGCAGGACAGAAAAGTGGTGCCAAAAATTGGCGTGACTCCTCTGTCATGCCGACTTCAGGTGTGACTTTTCGCATGAGCCTCAATGGTAGCACTAATCTGTATCTTCAAAGTCACGCCAGAAAAAAAAGAGGAAGTCACTGGTCAAGCCGTTTTTAGGGGCGGCTCTTGTGTAACACTATTTTATTTTTTGCAAATTTGGCCATGTGGTCGGCAATACTAGTACGAGCAAACTAAGTCGTATGTACTTTTTGTGCTTTGCTGACGACTTCGTAGAGCTTGACGTAAAATTTCGTGGACTGCAAACAAGTAGGCATGAGCTACAGCATTGTCATCGCTGAATAGTTCTCTGACATGCATGCATGCATCTTAAGATGCGTCTTAATTAATTCCAAATGCACGCAAGCGTGCCAATTAATAAATACACGAATCCGTAAGAATTCAGTGTTCAACGATTTCGTTAGAAAGGATCCTCACAGAAAAAGGCTACGTGAGAGGATCTGGGCTTGCGACAGTGTTTTTGAACGAGGTAAACTTGGAGCCCGCGGGACTGCGATGCGGAACGGCTGCAATCAGCTGGACTCTATTTAGCGCCGGACGGACGGGAGCACTGCCAGGTCGTGGAATCGCCGTGTCTGGAGTCTGGGGATTTCCCCCGAAGATACGTCCTTTTTGTTTTTCGCTTCATTCGCATTCCTGCGAGATTGGAGCACAGGGCGCGTGCAGGGGAGAGGGAGAGAGAGAGAGAGAGAGAGAGAGAGAGAGAGAGAGAGAGAGAGAGAGAGAGAGAGAGAGAGAGAGAGAGAGAGAGAGAGAGAGGGTGGAAGGGGAAAGGTGCACGGCCGTATATTTATTACTTTCAGGAAGAATCAAGCTACCTACCTCCTCGACCGCGGGGTCCGGTCTTTTTGCCGTTCTTCTTTTCTTTCAAGTACAATTATTCCCCGTCTGACGTCACGTCGCCTTGCCCATCCCCGCTTGCATCCGTAGAATTATACGAATCCTGTACCATTGCGCGATTAAACTGTTTTTGCTTTCTTGTTTATTTATTTTTCATTTGTACTTGGTCCTCCGGCCAAGCAGCGCGGCCCGCCGGTTAAATAAATTGGTCTTGTTACGTCTTTCTGACTCTGCTCGTGCGAATGCTGTCCACCTTGTGGCCAGACCGCCTCACGGCACATTTTTGGGATATCAACGCGCTTTTTGTTTTCAAATTTTTTGTTCCGTAGAATAACAAACGACCGGAGCTCTTTGTACAGTTATCGAATTTTTCACAACTGTAACGATACTCTTTTCTTTCCTGCAGATCGACAGCGAGGCACAGCCAAGCAGCGATGGGTCGTCTGCCGGTCCTTCTAGTGGCGGTGCTCGTGGCGGCCGCGCAACCGCGGGGCGCCGAGGCGGTGAGTCTTCATTTGCATCGCTTTATTAGACATTGTTCGCATTGCACTGCCACCGCACTCAGCCATCGTACAAACAAACAGAGACGGACGGACAGACATAGACATACAGACAGACAGACAGACGGACAGACAGAGACAGACAGAGACAGACAGAGACAGACAGAGACAGACAGACAGACAGACAGACAGACAGACAGACAGACAGACAGACAGACAGACAGACAGATGGACACACACGAACAAACAAATAAACAGACAATTAAACAGTTCACACACCCCCGGAGAAAATAATTTTGATACAATTTTACGGTTGCTCCTCAAAAGATGTATAAAATTTTTACACAACAAATGAGTTGATATTTATAAGGGCATCTTACAAAAAAAACTTATTAGTAACACTTCTTTTAAATTTGTATAATGTTCCTATGACAAGAATTTCAAAAATTATATGTAACATTATGAGGTAATTTTTGCATGGTTGTTTGAGGTCACTTCACATGTACCGCTGTAACCCGTCAAATTCCGAGAAATACACAGACAGCTAGTTTAATGCGGTCAAAAAGAGGTCAAGGGGCGGGTGAACGGTGATGGGGGGCAGTGGCGCTATCCACTACATCAATCTAATGCACTCGAAAGGCTTCTCTACAGTGTGTATTTGAGAACGCTCACCCGGCGGACCTCGACTCGATGGGTTGCGGTTGGGTATTTATCCCACCCGAGGTAACCGAAGTCGCCACCGCGAGCGCGCGGCAATCCTCAATTCTCGTCAGCGCCTTGCGTGCATTCGCGGCCACCTGGCTGATTCCGAGAGTCGGTTTCGTCGCTCTGTCTCTCTCGCACCCACACGGGACGCCCCATGAGTTTGAGAAAGGAAGAGTGACCAACGGTGACCAAAGCGACGCACGGAACGGATGCCGAGACGGGTTCAGAAGCGGATGATGTCGCAGAAGTTGCCTACGTTTGGGGCAAAGTGGGACTTTTTGCCTACCTTTCCGGCGTCTGAGCGACTCTCGGAATCAGTCTGCAGGAATAGACCGCCAAACTATACACGCCCGTCATTCTCCTCCCGCAGGTCCCCACCCACCTCCACAAGAGCGTCTTCGTCGCTGTGGGCGGCGCGGGCGGCGGCTCCGTGGCGGGCGACGGCGGCGGTGAGGCGGCGGTGGCCGTCAAGCCCGTGCCCGTCTACAAGCCCGTCTACAAGCCGGTGCCCGTGGAGGTGCCCGTCGAAGTGCCGGTCTACAAGCCCGTCGAGGTCCCCGTCGAGGTGCCCGTCTACAAGCCCGTGGAGAAGCCCGTCTACGTGAAGCCCGTGGCCGCCCAGGGCCAGGGCCAGGGCTCCGTGTACGGCCACGTGCACTTCGACGCCGGCAACCTCTTCAACAACATCTTCAGCGTGAGTATCCACTGTATTCCGCCTTCGAGCAACGTCCTGGTGTGGTGCGGACTGGGCAAGAAACCAGGGAAGTGCGGGAGACTTGACAGGTGTGCCTATGCGAATGCAAAGTGCGTGCCGGCGGCCCGTAGCGCCTGCCGCGTAGGCCGCCAGCGCGTCCGCAACACACCGGTGTGCGATGGGTGGCCTATCCGACGAGCATACGGCGCTTAGCGCTTACTCACGTCCGAATCCGCAAGGGATTTTTATGGACGGTGGATGGGGCACCTCTCACACTTCATCCATGGTTCTGCGTACACGGTAAACACGGTTCCTGGTTTTCCTAGGAACTCCCTGGAAATCGCCTGTGTCTTTACCAGAGATTCCTGGGAAAACCAGGAAGCGTTTTCACCGTGTACCCATCGCACGGCAGAGTGAGGTCGGGCCTCTCTCTCGACGGACTTTACGAGAAAGGAGCGCTTTTGGAGAAGCGAGTGGCAGCGATCGATTCAATGGATCGATCCAATGGACTGATGGCTGCCCGCTGCCGCCTCCCAGCTCCAGCGCGACCGTCCGCGGCCACTGGCTGCCTTTTCCAGCACGCCAGACTTGAAATGACGAGTTCCGCTGGGAACGGCGTCGACTGCGTCCAGTGCGGCGGTTTGTCGTCTGCCTCGCCTCGGCAGCGCTCGGCAGCCTTGGCCTCACACCAGCCTTCTGTTCCAGATTCCCATCTCGGTGCTGCAGTCCGTCAACCAGTTCCTCACCAACAACGTCAACCTGCGCGGATGTAAGGCTTTGTTATTTTCGCCCCCGTTTGGACCACTTATTTTATCTCCTTCCCTCACGCCTGATACTGTACTCTGACCAGAGAACCAAGAGCCCTGGGTTCTCGCGGTCGAGGGCCACCGCAATGCCAGCCAAGGCGGCAGATGCCATAAACCGCGAGAACTCAGGGCTCTTCGTTTTCTGGTCAGAGTGTAATTTCACTGCAAAAAGACAGTCGGTAAAAATTTTGACGTGGTGTATGAACAAGGACCAGATGTGGAATGACTTGTTTGCCGACAGAGGCAGCGCCCAAGATTCTTCTGGGCTCAACTGGTCCTAAAAAACAATTTGTTTACAGTGTTGTGGAAAGTATTGTCAAGTTTAAAAAGTTTTCTCAGAGGCCAAATGAAAATACTGTCGCTAAGACGCAATATTTCTGTTCTCTGTGAGGTGACACTTGGACTTTTAACTGTGTAATCATAAACATAGTATTCAACGGCATTGAACTAATTTTGAGCCAAACAGGTTGCGTCTCAATTTTCTAGTGGCCACAGCAATTTAATTTTCAAACCAATCTTGATGACAGATAAGTAGCTCTTCTGAAACTGCGAGACTTGACTTACAATGGGTGGCCGTGCTACTGTTGCAGCGGCCAACATCTACGTGCACAAGCACGCGGGCTACAAGGGCGGCTTCGTGGCGCCCGCCGCCCCGCCGCCGGCCGGCAGCGCCTCTGCGGGGGCCAGCAGTGGCGCCAGCAGCAGCTCGCAGGCTGGAAGTTCGGCCGGAAGTTCGGCCGGAAGTTCGGCCGGAAGCTCGACTGGAAGTTCGTCCGGAAGTTCCTCCCAGAGCTCGGCCCAGAGCTCGGCGCAGAGCTCCGCGCAGAACTCCGGCTACGGTTCGGCGCAGAGTTCGGCGAGCAGCTCGGCTCAGAGCTCCTCCTCCTCGTCGTCCGAAGGTGCCGTAGTGTACAAGAACAGAAGCCCGACCTTCTACAACGACATTTTTAACGTGAGTCGTCGTCATTATGGCAATTAACGCGAGCGTCGCACGTTCCCACGTTGCAGGCTTCTGAGGACTCCCCGCCCCGCCCCGCCCGCGGCCGGTCACCTGCACACTCGTTCCGAGAATCGTTTCCGTCGCGGTCTCGCTCGCGCCTACGCAGGACGCCCCTCGAGTGCGAGACAGACAGCGACGAAAACGACTCTCGGAATCAGTATGCAGCGGCCGTCTAGGACACCTCCGGACGTCGCAGCCGAGGTGACTCTCTGATGTCACCCCGGCGTCGGCTAGACGCCCCGCGGACGTCGCCTAGATGTCGCTTGTGATCGCCTCCTCGCGTCTAACACACCACCGACACTGGACTCGGTTGGGGCCTTCGGGACGTCCTCGCGCTACCCTGGTCCGCGTCCCGTCCCCTACATTGGGTCCTTGTTGAGCTCCAGTGAGGCGGCCGTGTCTTTGCAGATCCCCATTTCCGCCCTCACCTCCGTCAACACCCTGCTCACGGGGGGCCGCTGAGTCCGCCACGCCACGGTGGAGTCGCGGATACTCCTCATCTTGCCCGAGCGGCGTCGATACCCCCGACTCGCCGAAACGCCACAACGCCACGGCTCCAACGCCGCCGTCGCTACTCCCTGCCTGCCGCCCGTTACGAGCAGCAGCAGCCATGCCCTCACTTGCAGATCATCCCTCATGTCTTCATCCACTTGGACTGACTTGCGAACTATTCTGATGTTCAAATGATTAGTGTTGTGTCCAGCAATAAACCTTTACTTATTTATAACCCTTCAAATGCAGTTATTAATGTCTTATGTCTTCCTGTTTGATCAAACTTATCATTCATATCTTCACTAATATTCACATTCCAACAGTCACGATTTATGCATTTATGCTTGCCACTTAATGTAAAAATAAATCACAGACGTAATTCCAATTTTGCATAATTACAGTTAACTCTCTGGAAACAGAGACAAAGCCAGAGCTAACATAACCACAGTGATGTCATAATAAAGCGTCCCTCCAACACAAACTTCCAAAATTCTAGTGTCACGTTGAACCGAAAACGGGGGCACGAAGAACGACCGCATTTGAGTTTCCGCGCTTCTTCGCGCTCCGCTGCGACAGGTTAGCCAACTGTCGCTGTGCGCCCGACCCGACACAGAGCGAGTATACACCTACAAAAGACACACTAGCAATAAATCATACCTCCAATTCAACCATGCAATATCCAATATGAATTTAACTTCTAAATAAACTTATCCATGGATCCACAGTAATTTAATCATCTGGCGAGACATTTGAGTCGAGCCTGTTGTCGGCAGTGTTCCAAAGCGTGCTATGAGAAATCGTGAGCGCACACCAGGTCAGCTGGTCTGAGATGTCTGTTCGTCAAAAACATCATTTAGGAATTTCGAAACTGAAGTTTTTACTGATATCACGTCATTGGAGTCACAGAAATGCCGAGAAGCCGAGGAGAACGTGCCTCATTCACGGTCAACAACAGTCTGTGGCGGTGGATGCGGTGCTGAAAAATGAATGAGTGCCTTTTTCACATGCACAATTTCTCATACTTGACGTTATTCGTCAAACTGTCCCCCGATTATTTCTCGCCTGCTGTTCGAAGTTCCTCAAAATTGGGCGTTTGGAGCAGACTCTGAGCATTGGGATCGGAATGAAAACTATTTTCCAGCCGCCGTTTGCATATTGACGGTTCCAGGTCCGTTCCTAGGCTGCAGCCATTTATGTTGGCCGCTCCGTTTGAAGATAGCGAAGCGAGCGCCCGCAAGGCTTGTGTTGATTTTGTGAGTCAGTTGTCTTCTGTCTGTTGCCTTTACCTGACAGTTGCTGCTGATGCTTTGCCGTGCGCTGTGTTTCGTAGTTTTCAGACTTTCTCTGCGCCTAAACAGAGATTCGTAAATGGACATTTTAAATACCGAGGTACTGGAAGACTTTCTGCTTGTGGGGCGAAATCCTGAAACGATTTGTGAAACACTGTGGATTTTGGGTTAGGTAGATAATGGCCCTGTTTTGGCGATGCCTCCCGTGCTTTTATGAATTAGTAACAAGTATTGTTCGACGTTCTATTTTCTTACCCTCTTTGTATAGTGCACCCAACGCTCTCTGAGTCTGCGAATTGATTAGAATCTTCCCATTTATACTTCACTGTGGAAGTGACTTCAATGTGACTGATGCCTTTATTGGAGGCCAGGGACTTTTGCAATAGTTGGTCAATAATCTCCTAATTAGGTTTATTCTTGTTTTTCAGCAAGTGGGTCTTTAACATGTCCTGAAGTGCATGAAGAAGTCACCGTGTTGACAATGCTTGAGAAACTGGATTATAAATATTCTCAGCCAAGTGCTTTTTTTGAGTGAAAGTTATTATTATGTGGACTGTTATTGTGAAAAACACAAATTGTGAACTGCAAAAGTGATATTGCTTCGCACCATCTGCCGTGCAAGAATGCATCTAGTGTGACACCGAAGTGAACCATTAGATCACAATGGCTGATGAAGAATCATCTGTTCGAGTGGCTGTCAGGTGAGTTTTCATCTCCGTATTTAGCGGGCTGAATTGAGTTGATCAGAGTTTTCTCTCTTGTCCTTGATGAAAATTTGTGCCACCTTCTTGTCAGAAAGCCTGTGAAAGCAGCGTTACTGTTATTTAGAATCGTTGTCCCTTTTGGAACCGGCCACATCGAATGTGTTAAATTTTGCTACTTAATAGTATGACTACAAACGTAAAGATTTCTTTATTTTCACTTAAGTGTTGAAAACACGGCTGTCTTGCCACCAAAAAATTATGTTTCTTCATTTATCTTGCCTTATTTATTTTATTTTATTGTGCACCTAACCAGAGAGGTAGATCTCAGTGGCGCACAATAACAATTACAAATCCTATTAGCGGTTGCGGGTGGAACCAAGAACAAGATAAGCCAATCCCTATTCATTTTCTCAAAAATAATATCTGACAATAGGACGGCACAATTTTCATTGGATAGGGTGAAAATACTATGTGTCAGCCTTCGGCAAGCAAGCTCTACCAAATATCTGCACATACATATTTATTTATTTTTGGTAATTTTGGAGAGGAGCTTTGGCACTTGACCTAAATATTTTTCGTCGGCCTTTCGCGGAAACGAAGTGCATGGCCGCGGCGCCGCCTCGTGCAGCATTGCACAACGCGCGTCTACAGTGTGTGCGTCCGCGCTGTGTGTTGTGTGGGAGTCGCGATGCGCCTCGTCAGCGTGTTGTCTATCTCTCTCACACACACACTGGACGGCGCGGCGGGCCCGGGGAGCATTCGCCCATGATGATCCGCGATTCGACGAAGCTGTGTCCAGCAGAGTCGAGCGGAGCTCAACTTGATCGTCGTGACGCATTTTCGCAGCTGGTGCCTCCAGCATGCAGCCCAGGCAGCCCAGGCCCACTCTGGCTCGAGGCCGCTCCAGAGCCCATAACTCCAAGCAAGGGGGAACAACACACTAAAGCAGGAAAAAAAAATTGCAGGCTAGTTTTTATTTATTTAAATCATATGCTACATTTGTGAAATGTCTACCCAAAAATGCGGAGAAGTACAATGAGATAGATCCTAAAAAAATTGGAAATTTCATTGGCAGCTATTAAAAAACAAATTACTGTTCAAAAATTCTGACATTTAAGTTGTTCTCCCTTTTGCTTGATGCAATGGACCTCCTCATTTGCCTGTTCTCGGCAGGAAAAAACCTACAGTTCTTTTTTAGAAAACGTCATACTGTATGTCTTGCATATAAATCAAACTGGGTTCGCGTAAGAAAAAGGAAACATTTTAAAATAAAGTTACTCGCGGAAATTTTTTTTTACACCTCTGACCAGGTGGAATTTTTCGACAACATCTGTCCGATCTGTCCGCTCTGAGGGGGCGTCCCCGTCCAGTCGCAGAGGCTGCCGGGACACCACGTCCTCGTTGAAACTGGAACCTCGTTACGCCCTGCTGGCAGCACTTATGGGATCGATTGACTGGAAAACGTTGACTTGCCGCCAGCGAGCTCGCGGCACCCACTGATTTCCAGCGTAATTCCACAGCAGTACCGCCAATGCCACGGTGATGCCCTCCTGGGCGCGTGCTCTTGCCGGCCACCGGCAACACGCCTCCCCAAAAGGGTGAACGCTAGTAGCCCCGGCGCGCTCCGGCGCTTTTGAATGGATCGGTTGGAACCGCTCTTGAACTTGGACTTGATGCAGGGGACGAGGGGAGGGGGATGTTGTTTTCGGTACCGCCTGCAGCGGGGAGGTTACTTCCATGGGGAAGGGGAGGGGGGGGCAAAGGGGTGCCCCCATGGCACCGAAATAGCCGTTTGAAAGGTAGGCAAAAAGCCATGTGTCCCTGTTAGTTGGTCAAATCGGTCGCCTTGCCCCTCCTCCCCCTAAGGCTGCCCCTGGATCCGCCACTGGCGGGAGGTACTGTACATTCGCTCAAACCTGAGCCAGCGGCGACCCTTTGCTATGCAGGCCTTGTCTTGGTGCCATCATGAGTGTGGCAAACAGACTCCAAACAACGAGCGAAACAAAGGGTCGAACCCTCATAACGCACCGGAACAGCACTCGGACAATGAGGCCCCCGGTGGGGTTCGGCTGATTAACTTTTCCTTTGGTAGCCGCTGGCTCAGGTTTGAGCGAATGCACAGTACGGGAGGTACCCGCTGGCAGGTGCGAGCCCTGCGTTCCGCGTGTCGCTGACCTTGCCGGGACCTTGGCTCGCCGCGGCGCGGGCCGCGTTGACGCGTTGACCCAGTGCGGCGGTCGTTGGAGTCCTGGAGTCCAGTGGAGTCGCTGGCCCGTCGGCCGCGGCCCGCGCCGCCATATGGCGCTCCAGTCTGCAGCCTCCATGGAGACTCCAGCGCGGCGAGCGCGGCGCCGTACATGGCAGGGGCTGACCTTGTCCGGCCGGGGCTGGGCTGGGCCCCATTGGCTGGGCCTGCTGGCTGGGCCCCACGAGGAAGGTGTCGGGATGTTAGTCATCCGCGGAAGGTGTGTGCGTTGCGTGTGGGTGACCCTCGCCCGGGCCGGGCAGGGCAGGGCAGGGCCGATGCAGACATTGGCCCCCTTGTCTTCTCGGCGCGCACCGCTGCCGCGCCGTGGTGGCTGCAGTCCTCCCGGTCTTCCCCCCAAGGGATGTGTGCACAGTGCTCGCAACGCGCGAACCCACTACACTCCCAAATGAAAAGGCGTTGCCGTACAGAGAGTCGGTCTGAGTGCGACTTTGGCGCCGCATCGGTTTTCAGTGGTTTTCAGCATGCATACGTAGGCCTAGCTGCTTACTCGAACGGTCTGCTGAGGCCTAACAGCGCTGATAATGATGATGTGCGTCCTGGGAAGAGAGGGGGCCGGTGCGATGGGGTGGCTTCTCTGAAAGCAGCGATCGGCTTCGATCGGCTTCGAAGCCGCCTGAGCTGTAGGTAGGCAAAAGTCCAAGCAAAAGTCGCACTTTGCTCAGCCCACAGTTGGCAAACTTTTGCTACATCGCCCTTCTTGAACCATTTGAACCCGTCTCTGGGCAGCACACAGCGTCAAAGGCGTGTTACTGTCCCTGGACATACCGTAATCAGAATGATTGATGCCCAGATCGCTTTCATCACACTGTTCGCATGACTTGTCAAATTTTTTCTTGCCTGTGTGGATGTGCGTTTACTGCGGGTTACAGTGCAAGGTTGCCTCTGCAGACTGATTCCGAGAGTCGTTTTCGTCGCTCTTGTCTCTCTTGTACTCATGGGGCGGTCCGTACGGGGTGCTGGAGAGACAGGGCGACGAAAACGACTCTCGGAATCAGTCTAGTACTGGTCCCACTCGCGGTCCTTCCCCGGGGGATTCTCGAAGTGGCGCCGGCCTCGGGGACGCAACCACGCCAACCCAGGCACGCACACGCGGTCTTGAAATTCCCACAGTTGACGCGCGCGGTCTCGGCCAAAAGAACAGCGCCAACACACAATTTTGTCTTTGAAGAGGTTTTTCATTTCTTCTTTTTTTTGCTGTGGAGGTCACGCCTGCGGCTGCTTGCGTGCTTTACTTTGTCTGGCGAGCCCGCGTGCCACCTCTTCCGCCCCTTCCTCTCCCCTCCTCCGCCCCTCCCCTCCTCCGCCCCTCCCCTCCTCCGCCCCTCCCCTCCTCCGCCCCTCCCCTCCCCCTCCCCTCCCCCTCCCCTCCTCCTCCCCTCCTCCTCCCCTTCCAGTCCCCTCCTCCCTCGTCCTCGTCCTCCCCTCCCGTCGTGATGCTAGCCGGCGCCTCTCGGCGCGGACCGCGGACACCGCGTGGCGGGGGCGGCGTGCACTCCGGTTTTGCCGCGAGGCAGCGGATAAGTAAGGCGGGGGCGCGCACAACTCGGAGCAAAGCCAGGAGCCGCGTCGCCACGGTAGCCTACACCAGAGTCCTCCCTTGAAGAGAGGCGTATACCCGATCCGCAATTATAGGACGTTGTCTGGCCGCGGTGAGGCGCTGGTAGTCGACGGCCGATTTTTGTCGAGCTTCTGCGCTGCGGTCCGAGTTTTGACTCAGGAGCCGCGCCATCCCCACCGTCTTGACTCGCGACGGTCCTGGCCAGGAACGGTTTAAGGTTTAAGGTTTAAGGTTGGACGCTCAACGAACGGCTCTGTCAAGCATGAGCCTCTCACTGTTACTTAGTGAGGTTGATGGGCAACACAAATCGGCGCGGCGCAGGTCCCCTTCCGAGCGCGCCCGAAGTCCCCCTCGCCGAGCGCGGCCCGAAGGTCCCCCTACGTGGGTATCCCGACTGAGTTACTGGTTTGACTGTGATAACCAACTTTGTGATGGCGCTTTTTCTTAGGCACAGCCTATCAACCAAGTTGATCCCTAGTTGAACCCTCACCCCACCCCCCACCCCCCGACCGAACTTTTTCGTGTGATCTGTACCTGGTGGCCCGGGCCGGCCCCGACCCCCACGGTTCCCCGAACAGTGGCGTGGCGTCGTTGACCGATTCTGAAAAGCGATTACGCCGCTCTGTCTCTCTCGCACTCGTGGGGCGTCGCGCAGAGATGCTAAAGAGACAGTGGGACAAATCACTGTTCGGAAGCAGCCGGCACTTATTGTCCTCCGGGCACCCGGGCTTCGGCCGGCCGGCCGGTCCGGCAGGCAGGCAGACGCGGGCGAGCAGCGGCACTGCGAGCATCTCCGAAGGTGAGCCTCATTTTGGCCCTTTGCACTGTGAATCTGCAACGGCGTGTTACGGGGCTGCACGAGGGGGCAAAAACTCGGGATTTTCGTGTACACATGATTCGGAAAACGCAATGATTGCGCATGGTTTTAATTGATTTCATGGCTGATTTTGCCTTATTTCGCGACGCACCAGCGTGATGTTGAGCGTGATTGCGTGTGATTGTGTTCGGAAAGAAATGATCTCGGACTGATTTGGCCTGGTTTCGTGGGATTCTGCCTAAGTTCGGTCGATTTTAGTGATTTTGGCTGATTTCGGATTGCTTGATTTCGCGTGATTCTCAATGATTCGCGTTTGATTTCGGGGGCGGTGTACACATGATTGCGCGAGTTTT